AGCAGTATGTCGCAAAGTTAATTGATAGGTTGAAACCTTGTCCATAAAGTGATGCTGTCTACAGTTGACCGAAATTTAGTAAAATTGCCGCCACAATACCGTTATGCGAGAACAACTGAGACTTGGTGACTGAGGCATAATATGCGTGAAATGTGCTTGTCAAGCAAGCTGTTCACAATCCCTATTCATTCCAATCGGTCTAAAGGGCACAAAAGGTTGTTTTACTTCATCTCCGTTGACCTCACTCTCGCGACTGTGATGGGAATTGATGTATTGTTCATTTGACCCTCATGGAGTAAACCGCGATTGCTATTTCATGATCAGATTAAAAGCACCGACAACTAATCGATCATGGCCGTTTGTGGAAAAGAAATATTCCAGCATTCTAGCGTAGACAAAAATCGAATTGAAAGTGTCTGGAACACAACTTTTGCCCCTCCCAGAAAATCTAAATTGCCTTAGTGAAGAGTACTGGATTTGATCATTTAGCACACGATAGTAAATACGGGTGAGAATCTATAGACACATAGCGAATGTTTCATACTAAATAAGACCTACAGATCTTTGTTGAATACAATAATCAGATTGTCTCCAGTGATATGTCATTCTGCAACCCAAAAACCTGTGTGATATCCCCAGCGAGAACAATCATCTGGATTTTAATCGAGGAATACTTAAAATGCGTTACAATAATCACTCAGCTGGTAAAGATGCTATCCAAGGCTGTTTTTGTGCCCCAACCTTTCAGTAGTGATGTTTTGCAATTGTTGAACAACCTTTAGCCACGTAGAGTAATCAGACTGATTTCCAATTTCGGAGGCCAAAAATATTCTCGTTTTATCTGGGAAAACACTCAGTGTCTCTTTTCCGGATTCTAAAATCATTAACGGATTTCATGCTACCTGCGAGTGTAGGACAAACTGACACACTGGCCTATCACAGTCTCGGTACGGATTACCCACTGGCTCCGGAGGTCACAATATGGATGGTACCAGTTTAAAAATTCATCTAAAACAAACGGTAATCTGAACGACTCGGTATCTGTAGAATAACCTATGAGTGATCGGGAAATGGTCTTACGCACCAGCAAAACAATCGTTTTTCCAAGGTTAAATCGGTTCTGTGTTGGTTGGATTGGTGCTCCCCCATCTCTACCCCGAGAGAGAGAGAGAGGAGACAAAACACGGTATCCGATTGCTCATCTATTCGTACCCGGACGTACAAGCAAGAAGATAAATATATCCATCCTGCTGAAAGCCTTTTATGCAAGTAAAATTGACCTAACGTATCGACATTTGGCTTACAAGACAACTTCTAGATAGTTGAAACACCGGGTCTCCTCTATCCATTGTATTAAGACCGAAAGAAAACATATGTCACGAGATGTTAACCTTTCGTTTAATCTCCTCGATCTTCAATAGATACTCTTCGATTACTTGTATGCGTTAAAGGACATTGCTTACGGTCTTAACTCAAGTGATATTCGATAATCTGACAATGCGCTGTCTCGCTTCATGAACTGGACTTTATCTAACTCTATCTAGCAGTCGGTAACCGTGGCATGATCAACGACTTTTCCATGTACAAGGCATGTTAATGCTAACAACTTTTTCAAGATCAGCGGTAATCTTCAATAACTGACAGACAGTCTGCTTGGAAAGTTGGATATTCATCTTGGCTGATCGAACGTTTAACTCATTACTAGTTAGCCTATTGTTATCAATAACTTCCCCATTTCATTCGCATTACTGACTGAATTATGAATGGAATAATTTGCGAAGCGGTTCGTGCAACATCGGACAGAACAATTTCAAATTAACCCAGAGACATAACCACTCCATTTTTTTGCTGGTGAGTAATACTTCATTCAAAATTTGTATAACATTTACAATACTTATATTTGCGATAAACACAAATTGAAAGTGACACATTACATAATGTTCACAGTGGATTCAATACTACCCTGGATTCGTACACAGTATCGATAAAAGTAAGATTACAATACTAGATAAGGGCCAGATTACAAATTGACGAGGGAAAAATTTACCATTGAGCTGAGACTACGTTTAAGGCTGAACTCTTTAAACCTGATAATTAAGCCCTTCACTGTTTGGATAGTTAAATTTTGGAAATGATAGATGGTAATATTATTCAGATACATCTTCCGCTTGTAGTGAGCAGTCATCTGTTCAGCAGCTCAACAATACATAATTATATGAGTCCCACAAACAATTCTGTTCTGACATGCAATTCACTCCAGAGGAACGGTCACACCAATCGCATTGGCATGTCACCTCCACATGTGAATTACAACTTTGGCAACCAAAGTCAACATTCTACATCGACGAGGAACAAAGCGAAGTGAAAAATGTCTAAATTCCAACTAAAGGACCTGTCTCTCTCAGTGAACTAAACGTAGCGGCCTGTTCGATAGTTCGTTTCCCTTTTGCTAGTGGATTACCGGTCCAAACAACAATTTCTGTGCGCGTACTTCCACCCACCCGGAAACAGTGCAATTTCGCAACCACATCCACAATTGTATTGGGGAACACTGGCGTCGTCAATCATTTTAAATACGAATGCTCAGGCGGTTTCCCGCATCCTAGTTAGTAATTCCTACCTTTGTGTGGTGACGCAGTAGTTTAGTCGTTATCACTGGCGTGCGTTCGACCCTATGGTCCGAGGTTCGAGCCCCACCACTGCCACCTAACTTTGGTGGTAGACAGCTTTGCTGTCGTCCGGTTCAATACCACGCCTAACCTATCGAGGCCTTATGTGATTCGAC